GAGTGCACTTTTCTTTGGTCATTCTTACCCATCTTTCAGTACCTGCTGGAATTAAATCTTTGAAAGTAGCCACCACAAATTTACTGTTTGGGATTATACTGGTATTATAATGTACATCAAAAGTTATGTGATGTATGTGTATCTTCCTTCATTCTTGTCTACTCTAACTAGATTGTGAATTACTAGAGTGTATAAACTGCCTAGCAAGAGGCTTTGTAAGGTTTTGTTTGATCAGTGGATCTCAGATCTCAGGATTTTTTTACACATTTAAAAATTACTGAAGACCGCATAAAGATTTTGTTTATGTGGATTATATCTATTAATATTCACTGTATTAGAAATTTTAAAATGATTTGATCCAGGCCAGGCACTTTGAGAGACTGAGGCGGGCAGATCACTTGAGGCCATGAGTTCAAGACCAGCCTGGCCAACATAGTAAAACCCCATCTCTACTAAAAATACAAAAATTAGCAGATCTTTCAAAATTTAGATGATTATAAACAATTACATTCTTTTTTTTTTTTTTTTTTTGAGACGGAGTCTCGCCCTGTCGCCCAGGCTGGAGTGCAGTGGCGCGATCTCGGCTCACTGCAAGCTCTGCCTCCGGGTTCACACTATTCTCCTACCTCAGCTTCCCGAGTAGCTGGGACTACAGGGGCCCACCACCACGCCCAGCTGATTTTTTGTATTTTTGATAGAGACGGGGTTTCACCGTGTTAGCCAGGATGGTCTCGATCTCCTGACCTCGTGATCCGGCTACCTCGGCCTCCCAAAGTGCTGGGAGTACAGGCTTGAGCCACCATGCCTGGCCAAAAATTATATTCTTAGTATAAACTTCTTTAATTATTGGAAGGCTTTTATAGCCACTGGGGCAGATATAAGGTCTACTTTTGTGCTTTTCACTTGAAGGCTATAACTTTAAGTACAGTGACTACTGGTATGTTTTGGCGCCACTGCCTTGATAACTAGCTAAAGCTCTAGAAGTTTTACTCATCACTGCTTCTACATCTTTGGTGTAAATGTAACCACAGTGAAAAAGACAAATGTCTCAGTATTATTATGAAAATAGTTGTGACCTTTTTTACCCTCTGAAAGGGTCCGTTGGCCATACATAGAGAGAACTGCTGGTCTGAATAATTGTCCTCCTGAGTTGTGAATGTGTTCAAGTTTCATGAATACTAGATAGGTAGAAACCTAGAATGTTAGAATCGGACATTATCCTAGAGTTAATTTAATTCCAATTCCGTACAAGAACTTGAGGAAACTGGTTTAGAGGGCTTAAAAGACTTGAAGGTTTGGCCGGGTTCAAAAAAAAAAAAAAAGATCAGATAGGTAACCACTGGCAGAACTGAAAGATAATTAATTCGTAAGTCTCTTAGTTTGGAGTTCATTTTTCCTGTCAGTTTTGTGCAGTTAAAAAATTTAAAGGTAATTTCACATATACAGCTATGACTTAAAATAATAAGCTTTTTTAAATTTTCCTTTTTTTTTTTTTTTTTGAGACAGGGTCTCGCTCTGTTGCCCAGGCTGCAGTGCAGTGGTGCAATCTCAGTTCACTGCAACCTCCACCTCCTGGGTTCAAGCGATTCTCGAGCCTCAGCTTCCCGAGTAGCTGGGACTACAGGCGCACACTACCACTCCTGGCTTATTTTTGTATTTTTAGTAGAGACGGGGTTTCACCATGTTGGCCAGACTGGTCTTGAACTCCTGACCTCGGGTGATCTGCCTGCCTCAGCCTCCCAAAGTGGTGGGATTACAGGCATGAGCCACTGCATCTGGCCAAAAATAAACGTTTCTTTTTGTGCTATAATATAATAAAATTCTGTAGGGAAGATATTTCTGAACTCTTATGCAGTGCTCTAGAATCAAGTTTCATCTATTTATTTCACCTCTTAAAAAAAAATTACCAGAAGTGATGGCACGTGAATCTAGTCCCACCTACTCAGGAGGCTGAGGTGAGAGGATCGCTTGAACTCAGGAGTTTGAGGCTGTGGTGAACTATGATCATGCCACTGCACTGGGCGATACAGCAAGAACTTCAAAAAAAAAAAGAAAAGGCTAGGCTCAGTGATTTATGCCTGTAATGTAACACTTTTGGGAGGCTGAGGTGGGAGGATTGTTTGAGCTCACTAGTTTAAGACCAGTCTGGACAACACAGCAAAACCTCCTCTCTCCTAAGAATAAAAAAAAGTTAGCTGGGCGTGGTGGTGTTGCCTCTAGTTCCAGCTATTTTGGAGGCTGAAATGGGAGGATTGCTTGAGCCTGGGAGTTTGAGATGGCAGTGTGATATAATCGTACCACTGAACTTCAGCCTGGGTAACAGAGTGAGACCCTGTCTCAAAGAAAAAAGCAGGCTGGGCATGGTGGCTCACACCTGTAATCCCAGCACTTTTGGAGGCTGAGGCAGGCAGATCACTTGAGGCCAGGAGTTCGAGACTATCCTGGCCAACATGACGAAACCCCGTCTCTATGAAGAATACAAAAATTAGCTGGATGGGGTGGCGGGTGCCTGTAATCCCAGCTACTTGGGAGGCTGAGGCAGGAGAATCACCTGAACCCAGGAGGTGGAGGTTGCAGTGAGCAGAGATCACACCATTGCACTCCAGTGTGGGCAAAAGAGCTAGACTCTGTCTCAAAAAAAAGAAAAAAACTAGTAGACAGTATTACCTACACATATGTGTGTGTATATTTTATGTATATATAAATATAGATATATACATTAAAAAATTAATACAGTATTCTAACATAAAGGAAATTTATTAAACTATTAATTATAGTAATTACATTAAATATATTGTTTATTTCAGTTTGTGAAGGTGCACGCCCTCCTCTACTACAAGGCAGAATAAAGTAGTCAAATGCTACTAACATCTACATGTAGAATACTCATGAATGCAGCAGCTGTAAATTAGACTAATATGCAAGTGTTGTAATTGGTGACTCAAATATCTTTATTAGCATTGCTCTATAATGTGATTTTTCCAGCATGATGAACACCTTTTGGTCAAGTTCCAAATAGAGGACAGTCTTCTTTCAATTTATGTGTTATTGTATGTTTTTTAGTCAGTGAGTAAAGCAATGCAAAAATATTTTAAATATATGTGTACATATATTGGATTAGATTCTGGGCGTACCTATGTTTTCCTCTGAATTTGCTGTTCATTTTACCTTCTATACATCATTAGTGGCATCACAATAATTTGAAAATTTGAAATAAAAAGTTCTTGGCCTGCACCCACAGGGGCTGAATCAGTTTGTGGCATCCTCACAGACATTTGTGTTGGCTGCAGTATTTTTATTTTTTGTGTCATCTTCCTCAATTCATTCTTTTTTTTTTTTCTTTTTGAGGTGGAGTCTTGCTCTGTCGCCCAGGCTGGAATGCAGTGGCACAATCTTGGTGCACTGCCACCTCCGCCTCTCAGGTTCAAGCGATTCTCCTGCCTCAGCCACCTGAGTAAATGAGATTACAGGCGTGCACCACCACGCCCAGCTAAGATTTTGTGTTTTTAGTAGAGACGGGTTTTACCGTATTGACTAGGCTGGTCGCCAACTCCTGGCCTCAAGGGATCTGCCCACCTCAGCCTCCCAGAGTGTTGGGATTACGGCCGTGAGCCACTGTGCCTGGCCCTCAATGTATTCTTGAGTGTTGCATTCCTGTCTTTAAGTGAGACACTGAAGCTTTTACATTCTGAATAATAATACATATAAATAAATAATTAGAATGAATGTAAAATTAAAAAATGTTTCATTGAAAGTGATGTAAATTAGAAACTATAATAGTTATAAATAGTATATAGTTCATAAATACACATGATTTACAAATTCCTTTTTTTTTTTTTTTTTGAGACAGAGTCTCACTCTTGCCCAGGCTGGAGTGTGGTGGCGTGATCTCAGCTCATTGCAGTCTCTGTCTTCAGGGCTTAAGCAATCCTCCCACCTCAGCCTCTGAGTAACTGAGACTACAGGTGCGCACCCCCACGCCCGGCTAATTTTTGTATTTTTGTAGTCGGGCTTTTGCCATGTTGCTCAGGCTGGTCTCTTAACTTCTGAGCTCAAGCCATCCACTTGCCTTGGCCTCCCAAAGTGCTGGGACTTCAGGTGTGAGCCATTGCCCCTGGCCACAAATTCTATTCTTAAACAATTAAATTGGTAGAAATTTCTTGGATTTAAATGAATGAATTTACTACAGAAATTATATTTTGCCTACCAAAACACTTTCACCATTTTTAAAAATAAGGAAAGAAGGTTTGTTGCCCAGGTTGGTCTTAACTCTGGGTATCAAGTGATTCTCCTGCCTCAGCCTCCTAAGTAGCTGGGATTACATGTTGGAAGAGCTGCCCAGTGTGTCCGCAATAATAAAAAAGAAACTGGAACATTTCACCAGTTTGCATTTGCCCTGGAACTATGGTGATCTTCTTTGGGTCCTTCCAGTTTTAGTATATGTGCTGCCAAAGTGAGCACCTCTCAGTGTTTTTATGGCTGTATGTGTTGCAGAATGCATAAATAACTTTTTTTACCTGTAGTTTTAGAATATTTGGATGTTAATAATCTGATCTATTTTGCACCTGAATTTAAATACGAGATTTAAAAAAAAATTTCACAAAAGAGTTTTCCCCCAAGTGTAAATAATTCGTTTTATTTTATTTTATTTTTTTTGATAAACAGACATGTTTAATGATAGCTTGTTCTTCACAGAGATGTCTACAGAGACTTAATCTATAATCCAGGAGAATTAGCCACATGCAAAATAAACTAGATTCTTAGCACAACTACCCTATAAACACTGCAACTGTTCTTTCCAAAAGGACCCTAATCTTATGTGAAAACACCTACTGTGGGGGAACCAGAAACCTAGCTATGTGGCCGAAAGGAGAAAATTACAATTCAGTGGTTAATTGGTGAAAGCAGGAAATTTGTGCCCTTTGCTGTGCTGCTGTTGCTGCTGTTGCTGCTGTTGCTGCTGTTGCTGTTGGTGTTGCTGCTGTTGCTGCTGTTGCTGCTGTTGCTGCTGTTGCTGTTGGTGTTGCTGCTGTTGCTGCTGTTGCTGCTGTTGCTGTTGTTGCTGCTGCGGCAGGTGCTGCTGCTGCTGTTGCTGCCGCTGCTGCCGCTTTGGTCTTCTTAGTTTTGTTCTTTTTGTCTCTCTTCTTCAGCCCATCCATGTTAGCTCTCAGTAGGTTTGAATAAACCATCTGAAACTTATTCACTTCCTTGGAGCTCACCACAGTGCTGATCTTCTTTTTCCCATCGGTAGCTCTTAACAGACACTTGTTGTCTGCGGGCTCAAAGCCCTCCACAGTACCTTTCTTTGGAATGGGTTTGGTTCGACCGTCATACTTCTTCAAGGTGATATAGACGCTGCCCGACGTCCAGCACTTCTGGAAAAGTCTGGTCAGCTCCGTCAGGAACTGCTCGCTCTCCAACAACACCATTGTGGCGACGCTGGCTCGACTCCCTCCGCTGAAGCCCCTAGCGTTTTATTTTATTTTATGAGATGGAGTCTCGCTCTGTCACCCAGGCTGGAATGCAGTGGTGTGATCTCGGATCACTGCAACCTCCGCTTCCCGGGCTCATGTGATTCTCCTGCCTCAGCCTCCTGAGTAGCTGGGACTACCGGCGCCCGTCACTACAGCTGGCTAATTTTTTGTATTTTTAGTAGAGATGGGGTTTCACCATTTTGGCCAGGCTGGTCTCAAACTCCTGACCTCAAGTGATCCACCAGCCTCTGACTCCCAAAATGCTGGGATTACAGGTGTGAGCCACTGCGATAGTGAGTTTGGGAATAAGCAAAGGGTAGTAGCAAGTTATTGCTGTAAAATACATGAATTATATATGAACTATTTTGCCATAGAGAATTTGTTAGTCTGGTTTTGCGTTGCTCTAAAGGAATGTCTGAGACTGAGTAATTTATAAAGAAAAGAGGTCTAATTGGCTCAGTGTTCTGCAGGATGTACAAGCATGGTACCAGCATCTGCCTCTGGTGAGGGCCTCAGGAAGCTTGCAGCCATAGTGAAAGGCAAAGGGAGAGTGGTGGTTGTCACATGGTGAGAGCAGGAGCAAGAGAAAAGGAGGGAAGTGCCACACTCTTTTGAACAACTAGATTTCTTGTGAACTCAGAGGGAGCACTCACTCATTTGTGGCGGTGGCACCAAGCCATTCATGAGGGGTCTGCCTGCATGCCTGAAACACCTCCCATCAGGTCCCATCTCTAACATTGGAGGCCACATTTCAATATGAGATTTGGAGGGAACAAATACCCAAACCATATAATTCCACCAAATCTCATATTCTTTTCACATTGTAAAATACAGTCATCCCTTCCCAAAAGTCCCCCAAAGTCTTAACTCGTTCCAGCAAGACCAAAGTCCTAAGTCTCATCTGAGACTGATCTCCTTCCACCCATGAGCCTGTAAAGTCAAAACAAGTTATTTACTTCCAAGATACAGTGAGGGACAGGCATTGGGTAAACATTCCCATTCCAAAAGGGAGGAATTGGCTGAGAGAAAGGGGTTACAGGCCCCTGAAACCCAATAGGGCAGTCATTAAATCTTAAAGCTTCAAAATAATCTCTTTCGACTCTGTATTCCACATCCAGGGCACACTGGTGCAAGTCGTGGGCTCCCAAGGTCTTGGGCAGCTCTGCTCCCTCTGCTGCTCTCAAGAATAGAGTTGAGTGGGCCGGGCGCGATGGCTCACGCCTGTAATCCCAGTACTTTGGGAGGCCAGGGTGGGTGAATCACAAGGTCAGGAGATCGCAACCATCCTGGCCAACACAGCGAAACCTCGTCTCTACTAAAAATACGAAAAATTAGCTGGGTGTGGTGGCACATGCCTATAGTCCCAGCTACTCGGGAGGTTGAGGCAGGAGAATCGCTTGAACCCAGGAGGCAGAGGTTGCAGTGAGCCGAGATCGTGCCATTGCACTCCGGCCTGGGCTACACAGTGAGACTCTGTCTCAAAAAAAAAAAAAAAAAAAAAAGAGTTGAGTGTCTGTGGCTTTTGCAGGTTCAGGAATGCAAACTACTGGTGGCTCTACCATTCTCACTTCTGGAGGGCAGTGGCCCCCTTCTCACAGCTCCACTAGGCAGTACCCTGGTGGGGTCTCTGTGTGGGGGCTCTGACCCCACATTTCCCCTCCGCACTACCCTAGTAGATTTCTCTGTGAGTGCTTCTCTTGCTTCATCTTCTTGCGTCTGCTCTCACCATGTAACACCACCCAGTCTCCCTTTGCCTTGCACTATGATTGTAAGCTTCATGAGGCCCTTTCCAGAAGCAGATGCTGCAGCCCTGCTTATACAGCCTGCAGAACTGTGAAGCAGTTGAAACTTTTCTTTATAAATTATCCTGTGTCAGGTATTCCTTCATAGCAAGATTGTCATAAAGATACAAGGAGAGATTCCATAATGAAATACCTAGTTGAAAACAGCCAGAAATAATGTTCTCATGTTGTTTATTATATAAAGTATTTGTTGCTGTGTATGTGGTATTGAAACTTCTAAACTAACTCCCTTTAGGTTTGTTCATTTTGAGACAGAGTCTCACTCTGTTGCACAGGCTGGAGTGTAGTGGCATGATCTCGACTTATTGCAACCTCTGCCTCTTGGGTTGAAGCAATTCTGCCTCAGCCTCCCGAGTAGCTGGGATTACAGGCTTGCACCACCACGCCCGGCTAATTTTTGTATTTTTAGTAGACACGGGGCTTCGCCGTGTTAAATAATCTGGTCTTGAACTCCCGACCTCAGGTGATCTACCAGCTGTGGCCTCCCAAAGTGCTGGATTACAGGCGTGAGCCAATGCCCTTGGCCTCTTTTAGTTTTATAGGCATTTTCCAATGATCATTGTTTGTGTAATTGAAAGCTAGATGTCTTTTAACTGATTTATCTTTCCTGATTATTTGATGTCACATTGGCAATTTAGTTGAATCTTGATGGATAACAGTATAAAGAGTTTGGTGTTGTTGACAAGAGTAGTATTTATAGCTTACCCCAAGACACATGTATAAGCTATAAGATAGACACATGTATAAGCTATAAGATAGCAGTACCTTTTTTTTTTTTTTTCCCCTGAGGTGGTCTCACTTTGTTACTTAGGCTGCAGTGCAGTGATGCAAACACAGTTCACTGCAGCCTCAACTTCCTGGGCTCAAGTGATCCTCCCGCCTCAGCCCCCAAGTAGCTGGGACTATAGGCTCGCGCCACCGTGCCTGGCTCATTGTATTTTTTGTAGATATCCAATTTCATCATGTTGTCCAGGCTTGTCTCAAACTCCTAAGCTCAAGTGATCTGCCTGCCTAGGCCTCCCCAAATGCTGGAACTACAGGCGCCAGCCACTGCATCCAGCCTAGAAATTTTCTAAATAAAAAGGATTGTTAAAAGGGCTTTTTTAGTGGCCTCCACTAATTGTGTTTGTAACTCCCAGGAGTTTAATTAATAAACAAAAGGAAAAGAATGAATATTGAATATGTGTTTTAAGTCAGGGTACATTTATCTGTTGTTGTTCCTCATCAAAACTGCAGTATCTGTATTTAGATATCACATGCTAAATGTATTTCTCTCTAAATAGAGTTTAGAGAGAAAAAATCAGTTACACAAAGATAGATTCTAAACAATTAAGAATCCTCCCGAATTTTATAAGACAGTATGAAATCTTTCCCTTACCCCTGTTTGCAGTATAAATGAAATTGAGGTTGATTTTCCAAATAATTATTTACAGGAAAACGATAGAATTCACATTTGATACTGTGAGAAGTCAAATAATAGAATTCTAGGGTTAAGATACCTGTGCTACAACCTAAACCATTAAGTCCCATATCTTGGAGGGTGGTACTTGTCAGTGCTTTTTCAGAGATCCCAGGTACTTCCAATCTGCAGTTCAGTTACTTATCTTTTTTAAAAATTAAATCTGTGTAAGTAAAAAAACTTTCTTGTCAGGTGTTGAGGAAACTCTTGGTAACCAGAATGTTTTAAAAATTTAGTTTTTGTGTACTAATTTTTAAAATGTATGGTGTCTTGGCCGGGCGCGGTGGCTCAAGCCTGTAATCCCAGCACTTTGGGAGGCCGAGACGGGCGGATCACGAGGTCAGGAGATCGAGACCATCCTGGCGAACACAGTGAAACCCCGTCTCTACTAAAAATACAAGAAAATTAGCCGGGCGAGGTGGCGGGTGCCTGTAGTCCCAGCTACTCGGGAGGCTGAGGCAGGAGAATGGCGTGAACCCGGGAGGCGGAGCTTGCAGTGAGCTGAGATCCGGCCACTGCACTCCAGCCTGGGCGACAGAGCGAGACCCCGCCTCAAAAAAAAAAAAAAAAAAAAAAAAAAAAAAATAAATAAATAAATAAATAAATAAAATGTATGGTGTCTTGTGGAGGAGTTAAAAAAGTAGAATACTCTCTGGAATGGAGACTTAAGAATTATTTAAAATTATTAAAATGATACACGATACAAAATTTGAGATTAGAAATTACTGTTGAAACTAATACTCTTGAATCTGGTTTTCTGTTTCTGGCCTACCGTATCTAAACCACTCTAAACAGGTCATTCACTTGTTTTATCCTTATCTTAATGAGCTTCGGAGGTGAAGTTTCTGTAACCTCATGTTGTCTCCTGTTTGTCACAAAGATTCTTCATGTCTTACCTAAATTGCTTTGTTTACATTCTATGTTTGGAGATGTAGGTAGGCCATTTGATCATTGATGTGAGTATACACACTCATACACTATCCCCCACGCCCGCCCGTCACACAGTTTAAAGCCTTCTCATTCACGTAGATAGTTTTGTAAGTCTGAATAGCCTAATTTAGATAAACTTTCTTCGTAGTTCAATTAGAAAACTCTCCATTTTGAGTGCTTGTTTAGGTTTTAATATAAAGGAAACATTTTACACAAGGAATCATTGTTTTGCTAACCTTATTGACAAAAAGAAACAGTGATGAGGAAATGACTAAAACCAGTTCAGACAGTATTGAGCATGCAGATTCTACAAGGGTTGAGAACAGACGGGACTAAGAACACATGTGGAGAAGTCAGCTCTGAAGAGAGTTTTGGATCACCTTCAGGTATAGATGGATGAAGTTGCCAATGTGTTTTCAGTTGGAGAGGCAGAGTGCTGAGGAATTGGATCACCTTCAGGTATAGATGGATGAAGTTGCCGATGTGTCTTCAGTTGGAGAGGCAGAGTGCTGAGGAATTTTATGCCTGCTGTGTTGTGTTTTTCTGTCCGGTGAGCATTAGGCCATCTTGATTTTCTGTAGGATGGAGATAATATTGGGCCCTGTAATGAAGTGCTGAAGTTTTGAGATAGTATTTGAACTGCGTTGGTGATCTTTATAATTTTAGTAAATTTACTTATTATTAAAGCATGTTGTTCAATTATCCTGTTCAAATAATTGGATTTTCAAGTGTATTTACTTGACTTTTCAGAAAATGTTTAAATTGCTTCTGTGAGGTAGGAAAGTGACTATAGGTTTATCT